TAGTCATCCTATTTTCCCAAGTTTGCATAACTTTAACATGGTCAATCTTGTTTCATCTATAAACCCATCCAGCCCTCCCCCTTAACTGCTCTGAAACAATTCCAAGACATACATTATAAATATTGCATCTATAAATATGAGTTTCTTTACATTGTATTTGAAGGCATGTAATACAAATGACAGTACTTATCTTTTTTGTAAGTGTGAGACCTATATTGCTGTTAATTTTTCTTTAAGTTCCACTTTGCAAATAGTAGACTGGGGGCTTGGGTTGTGGCTCAGCAGTAGAGTACTYGCCTAGTATGTGTTCAATCCTCAGCACCACATAAAAATAAATGAAAATAAAATAAAGGTATGGTGTCCATCTACAACAAAAAACTATTTTTTWAAAAAAATAGTGGACTGGCCAAATGTTCTCTGACTTGCATTTAAGGATTCGAAAAATAGTAAATTTCATTTCCTAACCTAGAATAATGACAGTGGAGATTTTACAGTTCTCCAGAAATTTCTCCCAACTTTTTTTTTTCTCACTGAACAAACTCAACAGGCTAACATAGAATCACTAAGACCTCTGCTGGCAGGTTCTAGGATTCTTTTGTTTTAATAAGTGATGTGAGGTTACTGAGCATATTGATCCCAGAAGTGTTTAAAGGCTTGGAGGTGACTTGATTTGGGATATTTTGCTGTTGTGATTTCACTTTTCTCCCACTCTCATGTCAATCACTGTCCTACTCTCCGCTTCACARTAGTGCCTTCTAAATGAGCTCATCCACTCTTACTTCATATTGACTAAATTTGCAAATATTAACATTGAAAAAGAAGATGGGGGGGAAAAAAAAGCTCAAATGTATATGCCCCCTTTAGGGAAGTGTGCATTCAGATCTTCCAAAGCCCTGATCAGACCTGGTCCCTGGAAGACAATGGAGGTACACTCTGCCCCTACATTGTGCTTGGACATACCCTGAATCTCTTGTGGATGACCTAGCTGGAATCAATGAATCAAGGCAGGTTAGCTGGCTGAAAAACCCTGTCAGAACTGAAAGACAAGAGACTGAAAATGTGGAGAGATACATGGAGCCAGCAGCAGCCTTTTTAAGGCTCTAATGATAGAAAAAGCAATTAAGAGAGATACTAATTGCTGGGATATATAATTCATTCTTTGGCTTGTCATTTAGTTAGAGGAAAATGGCAACAAATTTGAAGTATTTTGTAGATAGGGATTTTTATTTATTTTTTCATTAAATTTTTTTTTTTTTTGTACTGGGGATTGAACTCAAGGGCACTTGACCACTCAACCACATCCTCAGCTCTATTTTGTATTTTATTTAGAGACAGGGTCTCACTGAGTTACTTAACGCCTAGCAGTTGCTGAGGCTGGCTTTGAACTCATGATCCTCCTGCCTCAGCCTCCGGAGCCTCTAGGATTACAAGCGTGCTAGATAGGGATTTATTTATTTATTTATAAGTTGCAGATGGACAGAATACCTTTTATTTTATTTATTTGTTTATTTTTATGTGGAGCTGAGGATCGAACCCAGTGCCTTGCCTGTGCTCGGCAAGTGCTCTACCGCTGAGCCACAACCCTAGCCCCTAGATAGGGTTTTTAAATGATAACTTTTTTTGATGATGAGATTTAAAAAAATATATACACTCACATATTATTTTAAAATTATCTTGTTTTCCCTAACTCTCTCAAGCAACACAATATTGGAAACCAAAAATCCTAGGAGTGATAAATGTTACAACATAGGAAGGTCTTATCCAAAGCAAGGAGTTAMGGAACTTTGTTTTCTCCTTCTGGGCTCAGTGTCCCACAATGGTCATCATTTTCCTGGATTACTACTGATCAATACAAGTGGCATGAAGAACTAAAGGCAGCTGGAAGCAGTGATGTGTCCTGTAATCCCAGTGGCTTGGGAGGCTGAGGCAGGAGGGAGGATCCAAGGTCCAAGTCAGCCTCAACAACTTAGTGAGGCCCTGAGTAACTTAGTGAGACTCTGTCTCAAAATTAAAAAATTAAAACAGGCTGGGGATGTGGTTCAGTGGTTAAGTGSCCCTGGTTCAATCCCTGGTTGAAAAAAAAAAGGTAGAGGGATATATGTATACACGTAGAGGATCAGCCTGGTGTCTGCATTACAGCTATAAATTGGTTCTCCTCTCCCCTACCAGGTTCCACGTGGAGGATATTTACCAAGTCACAGGTGTATTTTCTGAGAGTCATTTTCTTTTTTCTTTTTGGTGGTGCTGTGGTTTGAACCCAGGGCCTCACACATGCTAAGCACACACTCAACCACTGAACTACATACATTTTCSAAGTTTTTATTTTTAATCATTCTACCCCAAGCTTCCCAGAGCCAGGTTCTCTCTATACCTTATTCTAGTTGCCTTCTCCCCGCCTTGGAATGCGGGGGATGGAACCCAGGACCTTACACATGCTAGTCAAGTGCTCTACCATGAGCTACACCCCAGCCCTCCAGTTATCTGTTGATAGGTAATGAATTGTCCAAAACATGGAGGCTTCAAACAAAAACCACTTTATTTGCCCCTGGTTCTGTGGGCCAGGAGCCTGGGCAGGACTCTGTGGGGATGGCTCTTCTCTGCTCCATGGTATCTGTGGCCTCTGCTGGAATGCACTGGACAGTCCAGAGCTGCTGGGACTACCTTTTTTCATGGTATTACCTGCAGTGACTCAGTTGGGGCTTTAGGGACTGAAGGCCTAATTCTTAATGCCTGGGCATTGCTTCTTTCCAACATGGCCTTTTATTACTCACTAATCAAAGTCTGTCATGTACAGGATGATGGGCTTCCAAGAGTGAAAGCAGGTGCTATGAAACCCCTCTCTGGCTGAATGTCTCAGAATGTCACTTGGGTGGTCCATTAATCAAGGTGAGTCTCAAGCCAGACTGGAGTCAAGAGGTAGGGAAACAAACCCCACTTCTTCCTGGGATGGGGAATATCTGCATCCAGACATACAGGCATTGTTGGCAGATAAACTACCACTCCTCTCAGAAGCTAACCAGGTAAACTGAACAGAGCTGGTAGAAAATTCCAAGATGCCTCCATTTTCCATAGAGACATCCCAATCTTTAGGAATCTAATCCAAAGATGGACCCTTTCCATTCTTTTTTTTTTTTTTTTTAATTCTTTAAGTTACAGGTGAACACAATACCTTTACTTTATTTTTATGTGGTGCTGAGGATTGAACCCAGTGCCTCATGCATGCTAGGCAAGTGCTCTACCACTGAGCTACAGCCCCTGCCTTCCATTATTTTCTACTGTTAACCGTGACCTAAAAATATGAAATGGAAAATTTCAGGAATAAATAATACATAACTTTTATTTATTGTTACAATTGTTCTATTTTATTAGTTTTGTGATTTCTTATTGTTCCTAGTTTATAAATTTATTTAAACTTTATCATAAGTATGTATGTAAAGAAAAAATATATAATATATATATATAGGGGTAAGTACATCCACTAGGCGTTCTAGAAAGTAGCTCCCATGGAATGGGGGGGATGTACTTTGATCATATTTTAACAGTTTGTTGATATCTTCTAGATTGTCTTTAACTTCCTGAATTCTAGAACTAAGCAGAATTAGCATTCTTGGATGCTTTACTCCACCTGTTAAGGTGCCCTTTCTGTATAAGACGGTACATTTTACTAACACTTGGTGTTTAAAATGCTTATGTGATTAGGGGTTGTCTTGATTCTTACTGTCTTCAGCAACATTAAGTACTAGCCCTCTTGCTTAAGATTACCTCTTGGGAGTAACTTTTTCTTCTGAACTCTTTGTGTTTATTTACATGCCTGTCCATGGTAGTTCCCCCAGAGGCCTAGTGGAAATGCACTAGGCCTCGCTGCTGTGAAGGGTTGGTGTTGGCAGCCCTCCCCTTTTGGTTTTGACTCTGTGCTCACAGTTGATAATCTCCCATTAACCCATTAATTTCATGTCATTCCATTACCCAATATGAAGAAATTTCATAGTGAATTCAAAGACAAGACACAAAAAAGTTTTGCTAAAGATTCCCTATATACATATATATATATATAATATTTTATTTTAAAATGTCATTGAGCATATACATTTCTTTAGCTTCTTCCAGGGGACATTGCACCTAAGTTTCAAAACACACAAAATAGATCCCCTTTGCTAAACAGTTTTCATTTTTTGGGTTACAAAAGTCAATGTTTCACAATCACAAAGCATAAAGGTACATGGTTCTGAAACCATTTCCAGGCAGATTCCTCTCAATTCACTGTACGTAGGATAGTTTTGGAAACCCAACCCATGACACATTTCCTGACAGATGATCCTCACCAGGGCCTCCCTGGGTCTCCAGAGAAACAAAGAAAACTGGAGGCAAAATCGAAGTGGAAGAGTAACCTCAGGACTCCTCAAAACAAACACAAAATACTCATAGGAGATGGGAAGAGTGGAGGACACAAGGTTCCTCCTCTTCAAGTACATCACAGGAGAAAACAACAGCACGTTCACAGCCTTACTCGGTCACATCTACCTGGTCGCTACACGAACAAAACTTCATCTAAGACGCAGAGGGAAAATTAAAGCTATTTACACAGATAACATGGTGGATCAGAAAGAGCAGCGCTCCCTAGACTGGCACTCGAGTCTGACAAAGAGTCATGGTGCTCACGCAAGAGGCAAGCTGAGCTGCTCATGTAGTGTCCTTTGAAAATCCCAGTGTACACAGATAAGCCATGTCACCACACAGAACCAAAGCTTGCCAGAGAGGTGGGTGAGCTGTTCAGGCTATACTTCTCTGCACTTGGGAGTCCTCAAAAATCTGAATTCCTAACACAAAATTCTCTCCTGGAGCCAGAGACTTTTACTATTCTCTTAGATCCGGTTTTTTGTTTTTTTTGTTTTTTTTGGTACCAGGGATGGAACTCAGGGGTACCCAACCATTGTATTTTATTGAGAGTCAGGGTCTCACTGAGTTGCTTCGTGCCTCACTATTGCTGAGGCTGGCTTTGAACTCGAGATTCTCCTGTYTCAGCCTCCAGAGCTGCTGGGATTACAGGCGTGCACCACCACGCCCCGCTTAGATCTAGTATCTTTTAAGGTCAGGATGGTTGTTCTTGCATAGGCGATGAATCTCCTTACTTTTGCCAACTGTTCCAGAAGCATTAACTTACTGAAATTAGAATCTCACCAAGCTTAACATATTCCCTCTGAAAACTGTGGGACTGCTGCATCACTTTAAGGAATGGTTAGACCCTCAAACTGGTGTAAACAAAACCACTAACCACTTGTGACCTTATAAATATAGTTGACTGGCAGGTGAGGGAAGAGGTGAGGAAAGGGATAACAAGAGGAAAATGAGAATTTTTTTTAAAGATGTGGGAGTCTTTTCCCAGATGTTTCCATACTAGTGCTCTTGGTAAACTGAAAACCCTGCTCAGATGGCCAAGATCTGGGGCTGAATCTGGTCGCCTGGACTTTCATTCTTGCCCACCAATATCTACCCACGTTTCAAATTCTTCCTAAGGARTATATGAATACTTACAGAGAAGAGTAAGCGTGGACACACTGACTTCACTCAGTCCCATGGAGGCAAGTTGCTAGGAATTTAAAAAATGAAACACTCCAAATTCTCCAAAGCTGAACACTACAGAAAATACCAGAAGTCCCACTTAGGTTTTGACCTATTAGACAGCTGAGTACTTGGCCTAGCCAGATTTTCTCCTCTCCAACCCCACTTCAAGAACAGGCACGCAGAACCACAGTTGGATCACCCTCCACCTCTCCGACTGCTAACCCTGCTCTGGCTTCGTGGGTCACAAAGTTCACGCTTTGGTAGCTGTCTGGCAAAGCTCTGCAGAAGACAGATGGACTGTGAGTTCACACTCTTTAAGAAAGGGTGTCTCAAACAGTCCAAAGAGCAGGGGCCAGCCCAGCAAAGAGATTTAGAGTGGAAAGAGACTTTCATTAAAGGAAGTAGCCACACAACCCCCAAGACAACCATTAAGACTTGACTAGGAAATCAAATGCTTTTCATTACACAAGACTTCCTCTGAGGCTATTAGGGCAAGCAGATTTGGCTTTAAGTCAGATACACAAGATTTCAGAACCACATAGAAACATGTTCTGCAGAATTCTGTGTTGTCTTTTGACCTTTCCAGGAATGCTCCGAGGTCCAACCCATTATGTAGACACAGTTACTGTCCTGGGACAGGGTGACTTGGGGCCTGGGTGGAAAATAAGGCCAAAGATGGAGTCAGCTCAATTCACACAGCAATATCAGTGCTGGGTAGATCTGCCATGGGCATTAACAAATCACTGTTTCCACTTTTGATTTATTCACCTCATTTGCAGTCTTCCACCTAGCCCCCAAACACAAACACGGCTTTAGCTTGCTACTAAGATCTTTCGAAAGAGACTTAATGGGAAGAATTCCTGGATACCTTTCTAACCAAAACCAGCAGGACTAAATGCTCAAGATTTTAGGATAATTTGAATGTGGGGATTTCCAGAGTTTTTCCTGAGACTGGCCTTGGCAGTAAATGAATTCGTGAATTGAGTGGAAAGTTGTCATGATATCTACACCCAAATTCTGACTCCAGTGGCTTAAGACTAGAGAAGCTCAAGGTAGGGCCCAGAGAGAGGTCCAGAAAAGGAAAGAAGAAAGAAAGTTTAAAAAAAAAAAGACAACAATAACACAGGAAAGATCCCGAAGGAGGTGGCTCAGGGTCCTCCATGCAGGACTTTCTCAAGTTTCTATTTTGTATATAACTTTGAGAGTTGGGGCAAGAGCAGAAAGTTTCCCCATAGCATCATATTGTTCCAGTGAAGCCAATGGCTAACCACCAACGTCTCCCCACAGAGATGTTCATTGTAGCTCAGATTTACTGAAGGCAGAGGAAACACAGGATCAGATGGAGATGGCTCCTAACAATGCCGTGCCCAGCTCGCCTCAGGCAACAGGGTGGCAGACACCCGGAGGGGTAAATTCCCACAGTGCTTCACCTGCCAGACAGGACAGGGATTCTACACTATGGAACAAATTCATTCCTGAGTAGCAAGACTCCAGGCCTTTCCTAAGACAATACCTACAACTCCAGGAATGTAGGTGATTCACTCCCCGGGAGGAAAGGTTTTTCTCCTCTCCTCTGGCGAAGGAATTCAGACAAACATGGCAACTGGAACTGGCTCTCCAGCAGTTTGGGGAAGTCACCCCATGACCTTCTTCATTGGGTTGGAAGAGTGTTTGAATTACTGGAAGTTGTCAAAATGGTGACAACCCCTCTTCGGCAGGAAGAGGACTAGGTAATTAGATGTCGTCCTTCCAGGGAGACGGGAGTGATTTTTTAAAAATTGACTTTGCCATTCCTCCTGGCAGAGAAGTGACCGGTGTTCAGGGGGTCCAGTGTGTGCTGCTGCTGCTGTGCTTGTGAGGTGTGCACAGAGGTGGATCCACAGTGGGCAGAGGGGTCCCAGTTCCTAGGTAGCTACGACATGATGCTCTGGAGAAGAGACTGGGAAGTCACCATGAGGGAGACTGGCCTACCCAATCTGAATTCACTTGGATTAAAAGAGTGGATTCTGCACCACACAGCAGAAACACAACTGCTGCTGCTCGACGGAACTGATATTTAATCTAGAGGGAGCAGGAGGACAGTCACAGCTCATGAAACCTGGATCCAAAGCTGTTCTCAAGTGAGGTACGGTGAACTGAATGATATTAAGAACTTTCTAAACGGCTCCAAACTTTCTAAACACTGCACGTGGAAGGGGGCCAACATTCCAGGATGACAATCCAGACTCTCGAAGCCACACAAAGAGGGACGCTGGAGATAACAGAGGAACTGTTGGTCCAACGGAACACCCACATTTTCAAGAAAACACTGATTTGGTGAGAAAGCACGACTTGGTATGCAACAGAGACATGGTCGATCATGCAGGGCATCGGTCCAGATGGCTACCTGGGTGGTGGGGGCTGTGGGATATGGGGACAACCCAGCCCAGGCTGGACTTGGACACAAAAATTCTTCAGGAAAGGAGTTGGAAAGTCCCCGTCCTGTTCTACTGAAGGGAAACAAACAAGATTTAAGGAATGTCAAAAAGAAAAGAAAAGAAAAAAAATCCCTGCCTCACCCCACCAATACCACAAAAGAATAAAGAGAAGAAAGAAAAAGAGGTGGGAGAGGTAGGGAAGGAGAGAGAGAGAAAGAGGAAGGCAGAATCCCTGAAATTCATCTTGAGCTTTCTAAAGGTGGACGATTTAGCTTTCTGAGGTGTGATCCCCAACTTTCCAATGCGGCACTTCTAACCTGTAAAGAAGTTGGCAGCTTGACAGACTGAGGAGTCTTCTGCCAGTTACATCTGAACATGGCTCTGCCCTAGCTACTCTAGATCAAATAAATAGGATGTATGTGCCCCAAATGCAAGAGCCACCTAGGAGGCCTATTTTAAAAACCAACCAAAATATGACACTCAGTAGGAGGCTTTGTTTTCCCAGCTCTTGTTGAGTCCAGACCTGTTACTAAGGCGATGGAAACCTAAGGGTCATTTTGAAGCATAGCCAGAGGCCTCTTGGCAAAGAACTCCCCACCTGGGCTGGGAAGAGATTGCATCACCTGGAACTCAGCTGGGGCACTTCCCGGTTCCGCCCTGCTCAGAGGCATCCCAGTTTTCTTCCCCTCTGTCCTCCCAATCCCCTGGATCATTTTCATGAGAGTTTATTTCCATGTATTAAAGGAATGACATATACAGAAATGTCATCTCCTGAGCCCAGTCGGTCGTTCGATATCCGCCATCCTCTGTCCTTCAGGACACCCCGGGCACGCATCACCAGGTCCTGAGCTGCCAGTGTGTACCTGTGCAGGGAGGAATAGGACAGTCAGAACAGTATCAGGCAGAAGCCAGGGCAGCTGGGTCAGGCGAGAGGCGAGGCTGCCGAGGACGCACCAGTACAGTTGAACAGTTTTTCAAACACCTTTAAATTCAGAGAAAGCTGAGGTCATCTTTTTCCCCAATGTGGGATACCTGATGTGAGATTATTTTTTAGGTGGTGAATGGGCAAGGCATTAACTGTATCTCCTAAGTTACTCTACTGCTTGGTTATGTAATTTTTATTTCTGGTGCTGAGGACTGAACTCAGGGCCTACCACTGAGCTATGGCCCCAGCTCCTATTTTGGTGTTGCTTATTACATTGAGGAGAGTCTCAGTCTGTTGCTAGTGTATCTTAAATCTCAGAGCTTTCCATGGCAAACAGCATCTAGCTGAAGAGGTTAAGTGGGGAAAACAAGAACTTCTGTTTTCAACGTATTTATTTTTAGGGCTATATTCCTTTTGTGACAAAGGATAGCCATTTTCCACTTATGGTAGGGGTAAATCTCCTTTTAAAATAAAATTTTTAGCTGGGCATGGTGGTGCATGCCTGTAATCCCAGTGACTCAGGAGGCTGAGGTAAGAAGATTGCAAGTTCGAGGCCAGCCTCATAAATTTAGTGAAGACCTAAGCAATTCAGTGAGACCCTGTCTCAAAATAAAAAAATAAAAGGGTCTGGGGATGTATCTCAGTGGTTAAGTGCCCCTGGGTTCAATTCCTGGTACCAAAACAAATGAATAAATAAAGTAACATAAAAAAGTTTTAAAAATTGAGTTGATTTTAAAGAAATGTATTAATAATAGAACATGTGTCATAGCAAAAAAGTCAAACTCTTTTTAAAATTTATTTTAGGTGAATGACAGATAAGCCTTGGTGGGCGAACTGCCCCACTCAAACTTACTAATGTCATAGTTTCTAGATCAATGTAAGAACAGTGAGGGATCCCTCAAGAATTTGAAAATAAGATTGCCTCATTGTGATTTAAACTATAAAATGAGGAAAAAAAAAGAGAGAGAATGACCTGATAAGCAGATGCAAAGCATTAACATGTAGACAAAGTCTAACACAGAAGATGATTTGGTAGGTGTGGGCACTGTTAGCCTGGAAACATAAAAAAATGAGACAAAATACTGGCAGGTGTCTATACAAAATTCTGATCAGCGTAGAGAGACTCTATGCTGACACACTTTGAAGAAATTAAGTTCCAGTGGCAGGGCCCTAATTGGTGTGGGATGGATTACTCTCCAGCCTATGCCGGTAAACATGACTCACCTGTATTCTGATTTCACATTCGACAAATAACCTTCTGATTATAGTCTGCCTCACTGTGTAGGCTTGCCCACAGGGGAAGAATAAGCTAGCCATTTGTAGTCTCAGAATATAAGTCAGTTACACTTCTCTGTATAATGTTAACTGGCTTTAATTTTTTTTCATCCCTACCCCTTTTTATTTTTTATATTGAACTTAGCACATTGGTTATGACTTAGCTCACAGGGTCACACTAAGTTTTCCAGGACTTGTGATCTTTTCCCTCAGCCTCACGAGTCACTGGGATTACAGGTGTGTGCTGCTGTGTTGGGCTTGCATTTTGGTTTACGAATCAATTTACCAATTTTGGGAGCTTAGTTAAGGTAAGCCCAGCTGATAATGAATCTATTCCTTGTTTCTTGATTAAATCAAGTTCTGAACCTGAAAAGCTAAGAGCCAGAGTCTGGTAAATCACCAAGAAGCTGACCATGTCCCTCTAAGGCTGTTGGAAGCCAGCCGTGGACTTTTATAAGGGACCACCCTGATATTGCCAGTGACCTTTCCCCACATGGAGTGTCTCAGTTGAGTCTTCTGAACTCTGAACTAGAGAATTCCTTCCATTAAGCAATGCTCCATTCCTTCCGTTAAAACGCCTATTCAATTTACAAATGCTCACGTTAAAAAGACCTGTTTTTAAGAACAAGGCCTGTAGCAAATGATCCCAGGATTGTGAAGGTTCTAAGTCATAGAGTATGTGTGAGAATCAAGTCTTCTTGTGCAGCCCGGGGAGCAGACAGAGGGTAGCATACACTAAAGAGAGGACGTGGTGCCTAATGCAAAATGAATCCCCTTCCTCCTAGAGGATGGGGAGTCGCTGGRTGGGAAAGATACTGTTTTCTGTCGGTATTGAGAGAAGTATTAGTTCTGAGGCAGAAATTTCTCACTTTTACTTGAGGGAAGATGCCACCAGTTCATCCTCCAACTGTTCTTCTGAGATTAGGAAATAAACAGAAAGGCATCCAAAAAGACCTTTGACTGAACACATAACTGTCTCAAAATCCACATGCTGCAACTCTTATACTACATTCAAAAGAGCCTCTCAAATGCTTACCACAGGGTACTCTCCGTTTTATATTAAACTGTTTATGTGAAATGCAACCATGCAGGCAAAGGCCAATGCTAAGGTGATGTTTATTATCCTGGTGACTGACCAGGCTCTGGACCTCAGCTGTCCAGAAACCCGGCTGAGTCAATAGTCATCAGAGCCGAACACACCTTAACCCCGCTCATGAGCCTGCGACGAGATGTAGAAAATTATGGCAAGCTGTGACAAAAATACGGCTGACAATAAAAGACACTCAAAGAGGTCAAGAAAGCAGACAGGAGGACTCCAGACACAGCTGTCTGAAGCTCTTATGTCTGGAGGCAAAAAGGCCTCCACAGGTCCCTCCGTCCTGGAGAAGCCGCTGAGTTCAAAACAAGGTTAGCTGAGGACGTCTCGCTGGCTCTGTTCAAGTCACGAAAGAGCATCGTCCACGGTGAAGGCGAGAGACCATGCTGGTATTGCTACTGCTAGTGACTTTTGGTATTTTAAAAATGGTCAAAATTAGCTTTGGTATTTTAAAAAGCAGGCATTAGGTCACCTAGAGAAGCTGGTTACCCGGGAAACTCTGAGGGCTCCTTATCATTAAGGTCTTATTGTTAAATATGGTTGTCGCTCATTCCAACATGACTTCCTCAGAGGCTGCTTCTCTCATCACCTTCCGTTCTGTCTTCTCTCAGAAGAGAGAAATCGTCTGAGAGAGAAATCCACTCTTGCTTTCTCTTGTTTCTTGCTTCCTATTTTCTTCCTCTGTCTCTTATCAGTAGGTCCAAAACCTTTCCCAATCCGTCCTCATAAAAGCTTGGTCCAGAGGCAGCTTCTCAATATTATTTCCAGCACAAATACCACTGACCATTTTCTTTTCTTCTTCTTCTTCTTTTTTTTTTTTTTTTTTTTTGATGGTGACTGGGTTTAACCAGGGATTGAACTCAAGGGCACTCAGCCACTGAGCCACATCCCAGCCCTATTTTGTATTTTATTTAGAGACAGGGTCTCACTGAGTTGCTAAGTTGCTGAGGCTGGCTTGAACTCGAGATCCTCCTGTCTCAGCCTCCGGAGCTGCTGGGATTACAGGTGTGCGCCACCGCGCCTGGCGTTCCACTGACCATTTTTTTTTTTTTTTTTTATCCTGGAGATGTATTCTTGAATCTTCCTTTCTTTTTTGGATGTTTATGACATTCCACAGTCCAAGTTCTCCTCATGAGTCTGTATTTCCCTGGCATGTGGCACAAGTTCTCTTAGATGCTACTTTGTCTTCTTTGTGGGCTTCAATTAAGACTTAGGAAGGGGGCTGGGGATGTGGCTCAAGTGGTAGCGCGCTCGTCTGGCATGTGTGCGGCCCGGATTCCATCCTAAGCACCACATACAAAGATGTTGTGTCCACCGAAAACTAATAAATAAATATTAAAATTCTCTCTCTCTCTCTCTCTTTTTTAAAAAAAAAGGCTTAGGAAGGACTCCATAAATGTTCAGTTATTTCCACTTCCAAGGTGATTTCCCATCCCTCTTCCTGAGTTAACGGTATCTTTTTAAACTTTGCATTATTTTAATTATATTTCACTGGTGGCACATGGCTAATGAAAATAAAATCAAATATTAGAGAGTGAGAGTCATTTGTTTATTGTAAAAACAGGTATAGCTGAACTTACTCCCCTCCTTCACACACACACACACACACACACACACACACACACACACTCTTATTTTGTACTTTCAATATTTGTGTTTCTTTTTTGCAGTGTTGGTGATCAACTCAGGGCCTTACTCACGCTAGGCAAGTACTCTACAAAAGCCACACACCAGCTTCCCTTTGTTCTTGTCAGGTTGATAACTTTTTAAAATACCCTCCTCCTCTAACAGGTTTGGAAGGATTTTGGGTGCTATTAGGGATTGAACCCAGGGGTGCTCTATCACTGAACACTAACTACATCTCCAGTCTATTTTTTTTTTTTTTGAGACAAAGTCTTGCTAAGTTGCTGAAGCTGGCCTTGGACATGAGATCTTCTTGCCCCAGTCTCCTGAATAGCTCAGATTATCGGTGTGTGCCATTGCGCCCGATATACTTTTTTTCCCCCTATGTATTCCTTCCTTCTGGATTAAATTTCCTTCTATAGAAGTACATTTTTAGTAATCCTCTTAATAATGGTATGTGACATTATTAAGGCTAGGTCTCATCTAGCCTTCAAACAACAAAAATGGTTATTTTTTGCCTTTTATCTTGAATAATAATCTTTTTGGTATAGAATTCTAGATTAGCTATTATTTTCCCTTAGCAGTTTTGAAGATGCTTTTCCACTTCTAGTTTCTAGTCTTACTGAGAAGAAATCTGTCTTTTATCATTCCTTTATTATTCTATCATTTATTCCTTTATTATTTTATCATTCCTGTTCTAACTGGTAGCATTTCATATTTTTTTTTTCTCCTGGTATTGGGGACTGAACCCAGAGGGGCTCTATCATTGAGTCACATCTCCAGCCCCTTTTGTTTTTTATGCTAAGACAGTATCTCACCAGACCTGGTGGTGCATACCTGTGTAATTCTTGGGAGGCTGAGGCAAGAGGGTGGCAAATCCAAGGCCAGCTGCAGCAATTTAGGCCCTATGCAACTTAGTGCCCCTGGGTTAAATCCTAGTACAA